AAGAAATGATTATAGATATGAAGAGAGATATTCAGAAATGTTTATCACAGCATTATTTACAGTAGCTCCAAATTAAAAAGATATTGCCCCCAAATGAAAAAGTGAAATGACTTTTGGCAGATCTACTTTGTAGAAATTATTTTCTATGTTTTTAGATTATTTTAATGATAAGAAAGTTGCCCACAATATAAATTGAAGGATAATTAGATTACCTTAATTGTATAAATTTACATAAGTGATAAAATTAGTAGAAAACACATAAAATATTAATAACATATCTTTTCTGGACAGAATACTAAAAAAATAAACTATATACTCTTTTTTAAGCAAATAAAAACATTAAATGTTTTGGTGAAGTTTTTAAAAGGAAAAATAATTTTTATCTCAATGGAATTGTTTGAGATTTCTAATTTTTCTTCTCTTTTATGGCTTTTTGGAAGTAACTGGAATGAAAGTTCTTTAAGTTTTTTTTATGGTCATTCATGTCAAATATTTTGGGGGAAATATTATAAATGTATTTTGAATGGAAATTTTTATATCGTATTTATGTTCTGGAGTTACATTTCCTGAGCATAAGTAAAATCAAGTTTTGTTTTTGTTTCAAAACAAGGAAAAGTTTATGTTTTTTTTTAACACCTGAAATTCATAATCACTAACACTGGGATCTCTGATGTTAACACAAAACTTACCAAGAAAACTTTATTGCAAATAAAAATCGCTGAGGGTAGAGGGTTATCAAACCTAGAAATTTTAAATAGTATAAATAGGAAATTCAAGTTTGGCTTTATAAAACCACCCTAAATTAGTCTCTTTAACAAATCAAACTGTATACTGAAAATAATGTTATTTTACAAATTAAATTTATTGCATATGATAATGTTACCTGTCCTATCTTTACAAATTTTTATCTACATTTTACAGTAGAAAGTTAGTTCTTGAAATGGAAAACCCAATGATTTGTGTTCATTAAGCTGCCTAAGAGATGTAGTTTATCAAAATTTATTTTCTGTGTTGGCCTTTCACTAAGTGGTTTAATCAACAAACTTACAGGGTATGCCTCTTGTGTGCAAGCACTGGTCTTGATGATGTAGGTAGTCATGGTCCCTGGCTTTCCTGGAGCTTATGATTCTTCTGAGAAAATAGATGGAAAACAAGAAACAGACAATTACAAATTATGTTTGGAGAATTAAGTCAAATAAAGAGCCCAAATGGCATTGATCTTTTACTTTATCCTTCTTTCATTAACTTTCTAAATGGCATTTAGATGGATGTGGCAACACATATGTGGAACATTTTTAACACCACCAGGTTAGCCCCGTGAAAACATAGTGGAAACAATTTGAGTAGAGAGTAAGGCAATGCCTTAAAGCTAAATTATCCACTAGATTTTCTCCTGGCATTCACCCAAGTTTAGGGCAAAGGAATGAGGAGGCCAAAGATCATAAGTGAAAACTCTGGACTAGTCAATGGTTTCGAATATCCATTCACAAACTAACTCATGTAGCACTAAAAGCATTTCATTACTAGAATGAACACTGAGAACATAACCTTTTCTACCTCGATTTTTTTATCATTTGATCTCCATAGTCTCAGTCTTATCTTCATTTACTC